TCATTATATCTTCTGATCGACCTCTGAGTCTTTTTATGGTAAGTTCACTTTCGCGGTAACGCAGTTCTGATGTTATGGTATCCTTCTTATTCAGCGATTGTCAGTTCTTATTGCAGCATATCCTGTACTTGGCCACTTTAACTTCTTCACCTGATTAATGGAAGGACAGGTTCTTATGTGTGCTCCTATCCATTCATTAGTCTTCCTATGTTTTCCTTTTATTACTAACGGACATGTTTCTGTGCTGCGCTTTGTAGTTTGCAGTTTATAAAGAGTTTCCAGGCGTAGAATTTACGTTTCGCACCAATTCATTAACACCTGAGGTACACACTGATCGAAGACTTTGTTTCAAGTACAAGGAATGTTTCCCGAATAGTAACTTTTCAGTCTTCGAAAAGTGTTCCATTCCATTTGTATTTCTTCTGTTAATTTCACCGTAGTAGGTTCTGCTTTGCAGCGATAAACTCTCCCAGATAAACAGTTTTGTACCTCGATCCTAAGTTGTTCAGCCCTTGGATTCTTTTCTGGAGTTCTTCTGGTAACCTTGAGTAGACCAGAATGTCGTCCGCAAACGCAGGTGGCTTAAACAATGCCCATTTATGTTCAGCCCTTGATTTTGGCAACAGAGTTGTCTTGAAAACCGTCTAGCGCAGCTGTGAATAACCGGTGATATTGCACCCATCTGTAGAACGTCCTTTTCGATTTTGAACTTGCTTGTACTTTCGTGAAGCTTTACGCTGTCAGATGCATTCTCGTAAATCATGGTGATGAGGTCGCTGTGTCTTTTCTCGATTTTTTCGCTCCTCGATGAATCCAGTACTGTTCGAAAATAGACCGAGTCGAATGCCATCTCGAAGTCGACGAACCCTAGGCGATGAAGCAGCTGATATTCGCTGCATGTCTGAATTATTTGTTGTGTCACCTACAGATGATACATCATACTAAATCAGCTTGTGAATCCGGCATGCTCCTTTGCCTGTACAGCGTCAGTCTATTGAAGTGTGTTCGACAGTACCTTGGCGAAGATCTTGCTAATGATAGAAACAAACTGATCGACCCGTAGTTCTTCAGATCCCCTCTATCTTCATTTTTGTGAAATAGAATCACCAGTGCGGTATTCTGATCGTATGGTATTGAACACCATTAGCGGTATTGGTTTATTCGACCGAGATAACGTTACGACCGTGTTTATTTTATTGTTGCTCTGTAGGCGACCGGTTTTATTGTTTTATTGACGGTCCTGCGAAATGTCAAATGGGAGCGAGTAGTTGTACACGTGGGATTTGCCACGTATCACAACTCCAAAAGCATATAACATAGTGCATTATTTTCTCAGACTTTTATGAATTAATTCTGAAGACACTTGTTTGCCATTCGATGGTTCTGTAAGTGCTAGTTTTAAGTACTGTTTTCGTTTCTGTTATTCCGCTTATTCGTTTCATCAGATGAATAACAGTGTTGCGTTATATTCATGCTTGATGTTCCGCATATTTGTTGTTTCAGACTCATTGTCAAGGCCTTGTTATTTCTAGAACTTTCTGAGATATTCTTTTGGCATGGATGTAGTGCGATCTAGTTTTGATGGTAGTTCAGCTATGTGATTTTCGAGATGGGCTACAACGTAAAACTGAACGTTGATTTAATATACAGCGTATATTTCTTATGGCGAGAAGGACATGCATTCTACATTTTTTATTGCAGTATATATGATGATTTATGAGCGATGATGTAGTTTTTTGATTACGGTTGTTTATAAGTTTTATCTCCATGAAATATTTTTTTATCCCGTGTGAGCAGTCATGCTTAAATACAAGACAAGCACGGTAAATTTAAATACAACAAAAGCCGAACTTCAGTACCAACCTAGCACAGCCACTTGGTTCGTGAGACATTGACCAAGATACCGGTAGTGATCTATCAGCTTGTGGTTAAATAAACCATGTTTATGTTATGTTTTGTTATATCTATCATGTTTTCTCTGTTGCAGTACGTTTCGTTAATATGTATTGTGGGCGATAATGTATAACTTCTCACAACCATTTTTAATTCCCTATTTTTATCTGCTAGATGATACTGGCATTCACCTGACCCCCTTCCACCTTTTCCATCAATTTATAATTCGTTTGAAATAAAGTGCCCAGTATTCACATTCAGGAACACAATCTTGACCACTAACGGACAGAAATTGTATGTTCTGATGTTTTCGATTCTCGGCCGGTTGTTGGAATTCCAGCTGCGTTGAGGGTACCAGATAAAGAATTATAAAATCTTTTATTGGCAGCACGTTTCGCTGCGTCATCGATAGCATTATCAGGACAGCTGCTGCGATAGCAGTAATTGATTTGATTTTGTTTGATATTCTCAGCCGTAAACCGTAAAACAACCGCTGCTGCTTTAAACTTTTAAACGAAACTAAACTCTTGGCTGTTTTCAGTATTACTATCGGTGGTTTAACAGATCGTTCAGACTTTTAATTTAATCATTGTCAATTTTCACATTTTCACGTCATAGAAAGTTTCTCGGATTGAACTTTAGCAGCAGTTTTTAAATGGTGTGCCATCGACTTGTGCCTTACACTCAAGACCTTCGAATCAGTAGCACTGTAATATTATAGTTTCATGTAATTAATATTTTACTTGTTTTTTTTTGTTTCAATCAGTTTTATCCCAATATTTCATAGACATGCGATGCGGTAAGGAAGTTACTTAAGTAATCGTAACTCTGAAACACGTTACTATTAGGATCGTTAGCAATTTGCTTTTTCGTGTTTGTCGATCAGTGTTATTCATCGTTCTCTGACGACATATACAGTAATTTTTTTAGACCGCTCTTGTGTTTGATCCATCGTATGGTTGAATTTGTTATCAGGGAAGGCCCTATGTTTGAGGCCATGATCATGAACAAGGAAATCAGTAATCCGATGTTCAGGTAATGCTGGTGTTGGTGAGCTGCTTTTAAAATGTGCGTCGCGACGCGTTTTTTCTAGGTTTCTTTTCGATAACCAGAGTCCAGCGCATGTCTACTATCGCTGGAAGCTGTACTCAATCTTACAGGTACTACCAATCAGTTTTTTATTTTCTTATTTGTTCCTAGATTTTCTTTCTGTTTTTTACCTTTTATGTATATGGTCATATCATTGTTGACTTCCTTTGGCATTTCGAAGAAAGCCACAGCACGATGGCCGTTACTTAATACTTCATTCTTGTCTCCAAGACCAGCTTCTAGTTTGGTTAAGAAATGCCTGCGCGACAGGTTTCTAAAACATTTTAGTAGTTGCTCTGTATGCTCAAGGCTGAACTCAAGTTTTATCAGTGATTTTTGCAATTACCTTGGGTCAGGTACGTAATTAACGCAGTATTAACACATTATTTATTTATATTATTTTGTTATTGCGTTTGTTTGTTTCTGTTGCTGTGCTGCTTGTCTTTGTTTTCCCTTTACCTCATTGCAGACAGCGAAATCTAATGTTGATAACTTCGTTTATGCAACCCGGTGCCTAAATTCTGTAAATTGCTCGTCCATTTATTAAGAAGATTAGACCACGTGTCACGGAGCAAAATGCGTGGCTCATTTACCTTACCCTTCTTTCAGTAGTACCTGCTACCTGCTGTAGAATATTACAGTGTAACTTGGTAATAGCATTTTCTTGCCCATATACATAAGAACCATTGGTGATGCATCCCTTTAGAACCTCTGTTTCTCCTTGGGAGAATTTGGTATTCAGTCATTACCTGAGAATCGGAAAGCCTGGGTTAGACCCGCTCAATCAGTCACTCGCCTTTCATCCGTACGAGTTTGATAAATGAATGCCAACTCTAAGGAGAAAGGCGACTGGCACCTACATGTCATAACGGTCACCAAGCTGTATATATAGCTTAAATGCAAGGCAATCCTGGTGGTGAAGTAAAATTGTGAAAGGAAGCTGGTGCCCAATCATAAAAGTCCAGGAGTGATTGACATCCAGTATATTGCCGGCGTTCCTTTTCCTATACCTTCTCGAACCTCTCTGCTTCATGTATGTTGATCATAATTATTTTCTCTAGATTGGCAATAAATGCGAGAACATTCAGCCCCTGCACTAACGTTTCATGATTGTGGCCATAATATCCTAATTAAATTCACTAAAGTGGTAAGAAAAAGTGGTAATGACTAAATGCTTTTTTTGACTCTTAAGTTTAGCATAATCCCATTGCATACTGCTCCTTCAGTGTATGTAGGAAGCCTTCATTTTCCATGACTGCTTTAATTTTCTGGTTGCGGAGACAGACTCTTTCTGTCCCAGTTTCTAGTCATGGTACCCTTATGCAGCAAAATTTCGTTACGTCGAAATGCAACAGACGAAAAAAGATTTTAGTGGTGTTAAACGTGGTTGCTTAAACTTTGCAAACAAATTAATTTTAAAAAAGTAGTTAAATGAAAACAATTGCCTTATGCAGAAAATAAATATGCTATATGTATGTATATGTATATGATATACTGCTTAATATGTTGTACATGATAGTTGTTAAATTCCTTAAATATCAGCCAGAAAACACTTAGTTAAAGTAGTCCCTAATTTTGTCCTGCTTCACTTCCTGAGGATGCTATAGTGTGATATGTTGCATGACTTTTAAATCTCCAAAGCGCATTTGAGCCCAGGCCAATTTTCACTATATGAGATAGAGGATAGCTCCGTTTTTCCATGTTATCGTCTACTGTCATTGTTTGCAGCGTATCTGCATAAAACTGGCAACGTTTATTTAGTGAGCCACTGATTATAGCAGTAGTACTTAGATTCTTAGACAATTTTTTGGCGGCACTATTAGTATGAAACATTTCTGAGCACTGCACTAATTTTTTTCGCCTTTCATTCATCTCTTTGGCTTTTTCTAGGTACTTTTGTATAACACATGTGTTTAGTCGATCTTGAATTTAAAAGAAACTTCATTTTCATCTTCCATCGCCGCTTCTCCTTTCGGGTCGCGGTGCGCAGATGCGTCAGACAGAGCTTCCAACGTTCCCGATCCTGTACCAGAGTCTGAGCTTCGGCAGATTACAACCGGAATCTCGAACAGACTCCTTCCATATATTTGTACCAGGTTAATATTGGCCGTGCCTTCGGCCTTCTGCCGGTCGGATTTGCAAGGAACAGTTCCTTAGCCTTCCTTTCTGGAGGCATTCGCAACACATGCCCAAG